CCATATTCTGATGGCAATCGCAAAAATGGATGCCCATCTAACTTAAGTACTCTTCCTCTGATGATAGAATGGAAAGCTCTAATTCCTAGCCGGGAGCTGTGCAGAAACCGTAGTATTTAGTGTGCATGCGTTGACCAAAGGTCTCAAATCGCTACAAGTAACGCAAGAAAAAGATACTGTACAAGCATAATGAAGTTAAGTGGTGAAACATATGGAATAAGTTATGGAGTGCAAACACAATATAAGACGCCATATAAGGAATTTACACACCACCTCTTCCAGCCAGCGTATTCCGCCCTGATCCTGGGTCTGCCGGTGAAGCAATATTGGTGCACCAAGTACGGCCAGCATTCAATGTGCTCATATGTCCTTTGACAAACCGCCGACTTCGTGCTGCTCTCTCTGGGTGCAACTTGACTTTAACGATACGAAGCTCTTGGTTCACGAACGTCTGATCTATCTCACAAAGAGAAGTCTGGCAAGTTTGAGCAGTGCCGTCAAGACATCCTCATATCCTTTCCTATCCATCGGTTGAAATGGTATCTCCTTGATATGGAAACTACTTTCAGGCCGCTGCCGGACGGCCCTCCGGATTTCCCTGTTTATCTCATCCTTTACGCATACTGTATATCCGTGAGCAGGCGTCAACATCATGTGCATGTGGACTCACATGAAATAACAACGCGACCTTTTCGTCCGTTCATTTCAGCTCCAATGATTTCTTTTGCGTCCATTGCGCTGTATGTCACGTCTATTCGCTCGCCACGCGAGACGATATCTCCTCGCCGGGTGTTCCGAGAAAGAAAGCCACCTACCACGAACAGGTGGATGTCCAGAATCTGAGTTGTGTAAGTGTCAAATGAATTTGCAATCATATGGTGAAAAACGCACCCTGTTCACATCTTGCGACAACAGTTCTTGCATATGATCGGCGACCCACGCTGTTTGCACTAGTACCATCATTAGCAGACAAGTAGTACTGAGAAGGAAATGCTTACCCTCCGACTCGACCTGCCAGAACAAGGCGATCCTCCTCGTCTCATTATTTGAATAATCTCTGAGCAATTCGGAGATGTATGGGAGCTGTGCAGCTATGCCAATTCCAGTCGCGAATAAGATGACAGTCCCGAAGAAGCCCAATCCCATTTCCTGTCCATATGGTCCCCCTATGAGAGCCTTCAATTTCGGGCAGTCGGAGAAGGCCTCGGCGGCGTGAGCATGCGCAACGATCTTTTTTGTGAACCCATCCTGTTTCTCAACGATCAGTACTGCGTGGTCGTGTCCGTCCTCATCACGGTATCCCCATGCTACATAGAAGGGGTGCATCTGGGCGAAAGAAGTGAGACCTGCCCGTAGGATACAGAGATAGATGTATTGGCCGGGGCGGAGTCGCCATGGCACAGACAGCCGCACATCGACCCGAACGGCGTCCGTGACCGTAATGTCATTCTCATTCGGCCTCTTAAATGACATGAGACGGACTGCTGCCAAGCTCAAAGGCTGTCCGTATCTGACGTTACGGTAGAGAAGGCCCAAGAAATGAACCGCTCCTATTAGCGTCAAAAGACACAATGCCGACAGGACATATACTGCAGGGATCTCCAGTAATGCCCTGGTGGGCAAGTGCACATAAATCAAAACGGCGACAGCGAGCGCAGAAAGTACGTGCGTCCAAATGAATGACTCATGTAGGTAGAATCGAAGAGGGCCAGAGAAAAAAACCAAGACCAAGATGATCACTGCCTGTTATGTTATGGTCAGCACTGCAA